AGACCAGGAGAGTTTCCAGGCTGCCTTGAAGAATATCAGCTCTCTGCTGAAACTCGGGGGATATTTGGTACTTGGTGGGGTTTTAGGATCCAATTACTACAAGGTGGGCCGTCGTAAGTTCTCCGCTTTCTCCTTCACTGAGGAGATCCTGAAAGATGGCCTTAGCGCAGCTGGGTTTGCCATCCTAGAGGTCAGTGTGGAGCCCAGAATTTTCAAAACCCATATGGATGACACTAATTTCGCTGGAAAGTACGTCATTCTTGCCCGCAAGGAGAAAGAAGTGTAAACCCAGTAGCTGAATCGTGTCCTTAAAGCCACAGCATCACTTTGAATCTGGGAGGTCCTTGTTCCGAGCTCATCTCTGCCACGGCCTCTTCTCAGCCTTGGTTTTCTAACTGTCAAATGAAGGCCATAATAACTCAGCCTACAGGCGCATTGTGAGGTTAATTGAAGAAATTAAAATAAAGCAATCTTGAAAAACAAGCATGTATTGTGTTGATCTATTTTTAGTGATTTAAGATGAACATTTAACAAAAAATAAAGAAAGCATCTGGAAAACAATGGAAATGTTAGCATTCACCCAGGTTTCCATTAATTTAATTAACGGGCCAATGTTGTTGTTTTTTGTTTTGGTCAATGGCGAATGTTCACTTTCCAGCGGGGTTAAAAAACTTTGGGCATCAAGATTAGTAAAAGTTTCTTAGGCTGAATTTACCCAATACAAGAGGTTAAAATGGGACTTCCATGTTTGGGTGAAGGAAGGAGTCACTCAATCCTTCTGGGTTTATTAAATCATGTTACCAAGTGCTCTGGATTTGAGAAACGCAAGCCACAACCTTCTCACTTAAAGGGGAGGCCCTGCAGGATCCCAAGTCCCTTGACCATATCTGTGAAGATTGGGAATGGGAAGGATTGGGAAGATCTGTCAAGACTGGGAATTGGGAAGGGGGGCAGAACCCAGGAAAGCTAATTTCTGCCTTTGCCGCCTCAGAGGCCCCATGGAGAAGGAGGGAGGGAGGGAGTGGGTGGGGGGACTTTTACATGGGAAAAGTCCTCCAGCCCTCCTCATAAAAGCGGCTATCCAAATATGTTCTCCTTGCAAACCGTCTGATCAAGTATTGTGCTTTAGAGGGATCTTCTGCCTCTCCCCTTTGAAGAGGATCAGATAGGGAGATAGGAGCAAGAAGGCTTTGGCTGACAAGAATCAGGTGGAGGAGGAGGAAGAGGGTGTAGTGAACAGA